AAATACTTTTCTTTCTTATTCTCATTTAAAATGTCTAGCTTTTAACAAATAATTATCTGAATCTTACAACCAAAGTTTTTATCTGACGTAAAATGTATAGAAATCATACATATACCAACAAGACAGTGTACATCACTGTCACAACAGTGTTTGTTTTCATTCAAAGGCTTTATGGCTTTAATACCTGGTGGACCGGTCTCTAGTCAAAATGCCCTGGCCGATTTTTTGAACCAAGCTTGTAAGAGAGCTGCTTTTATATCAAGCTTTTCCACTTTATACAAACCCTCGGTTTATGCAGGCTCATCACAGGGCATCAATTACACCAGCTTCAAGTGGTGAAATAGATTTTACTATTTCCTAGAAGTTTTTTTGTGATTTTAATTTTGCTAAACTTTAGTTTTTCTCCTGACTTCTGGCAATCTGCTCACTTTGTTCTTCTCTCAGTCGTCACTCTCTTCACGCTCCTCTTTTGCACCTAAAATCACATATAAACATATTATATTTAACAATAAATTTCCATAAAAATAATTTAAGTTAAATTATTCTAATTGCAGGCTGGGGATGTGTGTTTGATGACCGTCACTTTGACTTATTACCTTGACTTTAACTGCATCCACCGTCCATTGTGTTTCATTTTGCTGTGTCTCCTTCTCTTTCTGTCTCTGTCTTTGTGTTGTAATCCAAAAGGTCAAAGTAAAAGTGAAACCGAATTTATAACCTCAATAACGTTTAGAACTACACTCAAACTGAATGTGGGGTGCTGCTGGCCATTTACAGGAACATCCATCTAGGTTGCTCTCACCTGGATCTGAAGCTGTACTGTAATCAAACACAGAAGCCTAATTCGACCAGAATAGGCAACTTTAACAAAACTAGACAGTAAAATACATCGGCTCCTTGGCTGGCAACTAGTGATAGTGCCAGCAGACTAAGAAAGCTAAAATTAGCTAATAATCTCTGGTGAGCTAGCTGATGTTAGCTAACGTTTTGGGTGCTATTTAGAGAGCAAATATATACAAACAGGCACTTTTTAAAGTCACATCAGTGACCCTGTGTTATCAGAAGAAGTTTCCTTTTTGCTTCCTAATGTTTCAGTAACCTGTGTTTTGAGCATACGCCACTGATTTGTGTCAGGAAATTGTCTCTTCATCTTCTTCTTTCTGCTGCAGCACCACAAATCTTCTCTAATAATGATACGCCACTGCTAGTGAAGCACACAGATGATGTAAACAAAAAAAAGAATACTAACATGTAATGCTATTGCTACTGTTATGGTTATTTTTAGTGGTGCTTGAGCACTCCTGAAATGGGTTTAAACTTACCAATGGTGGCCATTCTCATATGATCTATGGACTCAACAGGGCACTTTCAACCAAATAAGTTTCGCTCACAGGATATTTTCTCATTTTTGGACCTTTCTCTGTAAACTCTAGAGACGGCCGTGTGGGTGATCTACAATTTCTGAAATGCTCAGACCCGGCAAATATGGCAGGAGCAGTCATCCTCTGGTCAAAGTCACTTAAATCAACTTTCTTTTGATGCTGCAACAGCGTTTTCCTCACATGAGAAATGTGAGTTTAGATCAGGCAAAAAAAAAAAAAAAGCATTATGATGAAATACACTTGCACAGCACTTCTTGTTCTTTTAATTTTTCAAAGATGTAAAATGAGGGATACATATAACTCAGGGTTTGTTTTTGCAATCAGTAAAAGGTATGTGAAGACATGCTGATTAACTATGCTATGATTAAATAAAATAGACACTTTTTTTTCTTTCAAATTTGGTTTCTGCAATAACACAAAATCACAAAAATAGAGAAGGGTGAAACCATTAGAACTTAAAAGCAACCAACGAGAAACATCACAGGGTGGAATAACAAGCACACCAGGAAGTGATAAGAACTGCAGGGCTCAACACAGGTCTGAGACTGGGGTAAGTAAACCTGAATACTAAACACACGAGACAAGTGGTTGACAACTTACAGTTAGTTAGCAGTTAGTAACTTAACAGGAACAACTAACCTAAGGATTAAGGTTAACCACGACACAAGGGAAGTGGAAATTATGATGAAACTTTAAACACTAAACTGAGTGAAACCAATGAATCTTGTTTAAAGAAAAATTATGCAAAGCTCCAAACACTGTGCGAAGGAAGAACAACTCAACAAACGATAAATCAATCTACACCAGTAACCAGAAATAAATACAAAGGAATATATGATGGGGACAAACTAAACTGCGGACAGAAGGCATTTGAGTTGTCCAAAATTTAGTCAAGCTTGAAGGTGCTGATTTTGGAGCAAGGGCTTTTTTTTATTGTTCAACACCCTCTTAAATCCATGGTGAAAACTCACCTAATTGTGGGCAGTGGTGCAGGTGTCCCAGCAGTTTCCACTGTATGACAGTCTCGAACCTTTGTTGTTCTTCAGTTGTTCATGAACATCCTTCTTCTTATCTGAGGGTGACAGTTTGGGGCTTCTTCCAGACTTTGACAAAGTGAAGATACATCCAAAAAAAAACTTTGATACAATTGTTTGAACTGATTATCTTGGAAGATTATCTTAGAAATGACTCCAAGAG